AATTTTACTTTGAAATGCTTCTAAAATCAATTTATAATTTTCTCAAGACTATGGGGTCTATTCACTAAGCTGCCATAGGCAGCCGAGTGAATGACCGACCTATTCACTTTAGGCTGGTAAGGCTGAAATCAGCCGTACATCGGCTTGCTTCGGGTCGGCCGGACATGCTCAGCATGTTCGGCCGACCTGAAGTGCAGAAGGAGATCGACTCAGCCAATCCAGCATCTGGATCGGCTAAGCCGAACCTCCGGCAGGCTACTTGTTGCTGTTCGGTCTATTCTTATAGATGCCAAACAGCAGTGAGTGAATAGCTGAATGCCTATTTCAATTTGCAATAGCCAATAGCAAACTAGCTATTGTACCTGCCCTCTGCTGCTGTCACTCAGTAGTGGGGATCTGGTCCCCACTACTGATTGACAGCAGCAGAGGGCGGGTCCCCACTACTGATTGACAGCATCAGAGGGCGGGTACAATAGCTAGTTTGCCATTGGCTATTGCAAATTGAAATAGCCAATAGGAATCTAGCAATGCATTCCTATGATCAAATGTTTTTTTCTATTCTGACACAGCTCCATGTCAGAAAAAAAAAGCAGTGTTTCTCTCCTTGGCGGGCGGGAGCGGGAGACTCCCGAAGCGACCGGGAGAGTTTGCTGTCTGGAGATCAGTGTCCCTGGTTAGCTGGTAACCAGGGATGCTGATCTCTCTGCAAGTGGCCGGAGCCAGCCGTAAGATCACGTCTGGCTCCGCCCAGCTGCCAAAAGCAGGCTGTCGGCGCGGCTCAGCCGAGCCGAGGCATATGCCTTCCGCTAGACTGAGCCGCTCGGCCAATTTTGGGAGCTGTACGGGCTATAGCTTCGGCCCCAGGACCCCTTCGGTTCAGTAGGATCGGCTGAAGCTATGGCTAGATCCTTCGGCTGCTTCGTGAATAGACCCCTATGTTTGGGCTATAAACACATACAACAAATTTGAACATCTAATTTCAAGGTAAAAAAAAGAAATATGAAAGGCAATAAAATTACAAACAACTTGCATAAATATTAAAATCAGTGGGCAAAAACTGAGTGAAAGTTGTAAGGTTTATAGATGTCAGTATGGCAAGAAAGTGACGATTCATATGAATAAGTGATTGAAATAGATAGCACTCCATGACTGAACCTATCAAAACAGCTTTTAAAATGGTTTGTAGAATTTGTGCTTTGTCACAGTTTTGTCAGCCAGAATTGTGTACACTCACTAATATAAGCTGTAAGGTTGGAAATGTTAAACATCCATTTACACAACTCCTTGTCAGTGAACCTTCATTTCAAACACAAAGCTGGTAGTTGACTCAAATGATCCTCACAGGAAACCAGTCTGTACTTATTAACTGTGAAATATTCTAAAGAAATGATTGCCATTTCAAGCAGGAAGGTCAACAATCGGCTTCAAGGAAACCGTCTGTGGAATGGGTGAATTACAAAACCAAATGTAATCGGAGAACAGATGTATTCTCACTTACACATAAAACAAGATACATTGTAGAGACCAATAATAGCTGCATAGTCAAGTGGCAATATACTCTAGAGAGGAAAACAATAAGGCTGTCTGCAAAAGGTCAACTGTTATCATTTATTCGTTATTTTAATCAACATTTTCTGTTAAAAAAAACTGTCTCCAGGTTTTGATCATTACTGCCAATTATTGAGGTCCACTTAGATGGCAATAATGAGTGAAGGTACTTGTTAGTGTATAAGGACATTTTTCAATTTGACAAATTGTCAAATGAGTAGGCCCAATCCTTATTGTACTATTGTTATAATGGATTAGCAGAAAACAATGAAGTACCGAGCTCCATCAGGTTTGGGGTGAATAATTTCTTGCAAATGCATGCAAGTACCTCCCTCCAGAGGTCATGTTCAGAGATCTATGACCAACCTAAGTTTAATAGATTGTAGGTACCCAAAGATTTTATTTATACACACACTCTCTCACACCACACAGTATATATTGTTTTAATGTTTAAAACTGTTTTGGGTAGCAGGAGATCACCCATTGTATCTACGGGTTTCCAGAGTAGATAAAGAACATAAAACTAAGCACATTGCAGTCACACTGGTACGCAGGTACAGGGCCACGGAGGTAGCTGAAAGGAGTTGCCAGCTGATGCAGAATGGCTCTTGAAGGCATGTATATAACAGGAATCTTCACCTCAGCCACTTAGAAGAGGACTAAACCCTCCAATTGAAGTGTTTCCTCAGACAGTTACATTCAATGCCTCTGGTGGTAACTGTAAGAGTTACCAGTGTGCTTAAGTCAGTTCTGAACCAAACTTTAAAACCCTCAAATGGCTGGTGTCATAGTTGCTTACATGTGTAGTACCATGGCAACTGCAGCTCTAAATGGAGACTAAGATGGCATTGTCCTTGGTCATAAAGGATAGGAGGGTTGAGGAGTGGCTAAAGCCAGTACTTATTGGAAATGCAAAACAGAGAGTGGCTGAAGTGCAAGTCAAATGCATTCACTAGTACTGGTTGGTGATAACAGTGCTACTAATGCAGAACAGATAAGATGCAAATGAAAGAGGGCAAAAAGACAGATTGACATAGCAGACTTGAAAGGAAGAACACACTAGAGATTTGGATTTGGAAAAACTTGCTGAATCACAAAATTTAGTTGATTCGGGGGTTCATCCAAATCCGAAAAAAACTATTATTATATGCCCGAATATACAAAAAATATGTACACGCACATATTAATCTGTTTTGTATGGGCATCGCCATCTTGCTTTGTCTAAGATAGCAAACCCATACATACATATGACATCACCTGGCGCCGGCATCATGTGACGTCATACACCGCGCCTCAAAGATGGTGGCATGCATGCTCAGAATGCACCAAAACAAATTTTTATGCTGTGCACATGTCTAGAGCATGCCAAATTTTAGACGTTAGAAGGCAAAACAACTCAAGACTTGTGACTAAATATTAACAAGAAAATAATACAACTATTGAATTATAACAGGACAATTTATGCTGTTTTTCTTGAAGAACACTCACAATTGGAGGAAGAGGAGGTATTTTAATCTCTGTTTTGTTGCCATCTGTGCCCCACATTGGGGTATTTTAATGTTCTACTGTATCATGAGGACAGGTGTTCTAAACCTTGCTCACTCTAAAACCAAGCAAAAACATTTGAATAAAACACACTTTTAATGGGTCAACCCAGATTACTTTTCCTCTCATAGCAACTACATTAAATGGAAAACATTCAGACTGGACAGCCTGAAATCACCTAAGAATGAAACATGACAATGGCCCAAAAGGCAAGAATAAATCAAAATGATAGCAACTCAAGCAATATATATTTTTAATTTTAGAATTGACCTATTTCCTATTGAAATGCTATATAGTGATCTAAACCAGAGTATTCAAGTAGCACATCACAAAAATGCAGACTGAAACTGTTTTTTTTTAAACATTCTAGTCAAAGTATCTTCTAATTGCTAAACATAATAGTTCACACACTCTTATTCCACCAATGACCTTGGCTGATTATTACTCAATAAACATATGTCATAGACATATGTCGATGCAAAATGTTGTATGTGTTTTATTACTGTGACTTAGATGAAAGTCAAACTACATTTAAGGAACTGTTCATCCAGAAAATGTGTAAGGGTCCACTCATTTTTTAAACATCTGTACACTTCCCTTTCCTCAGTTTTTATGAGAATTCATGTAAAGTACTGGGATTCAACCTGGTACACATCACAGCATAAATTCCTTACCCATAATACATTTGTAAACATAACTTCTACTAAAGGAAACTGATTATCTGTAGACAACAATGACATGATAATTGTAGGGTATACTGCAGTATGACACAGTCTAAATCCTGGAAAGGAAACAAACCATAGCCACAGAAATGAACATTGAATGAGTTAGTATTTGTATAAATAATTCCACTTACATACTCACCAATTAGAATGGAAGCAGTTAATAGTTTAGGATCATATGGACTCTTTCCTCTACCATTCTCAAAATGTGCATGTTCAAGCTTAAATATATTATCCTGCTAAGAAAAATCACAGTATTTAACAAATTGTCTTTTCTTCAAAAAATATTTAAAAAAACAGCAACAAGTACATTCCAGGACACTTAATGGCATGCAAGTCATTTTTGCTAACATTACTTGTACCAGAAGACAATCATCATCATTGCTCTTTGCACTGCCTTAAAAAATAAGACTAAACACTTGCATTGTGTAATTATTCATAGTTAAATGCCAATTCAGCTCACTTTCCAAATCAGCTATGTTATCCTGGACTGTTCACTTCTACTGTCTTCTCTAAACTCTTCACCCTTTTGTGAATAACCCTGTAAATATTTGCTCATTTTATTGTAGGCAACTAGTCTACCCAGTTCACCTAGTTCTAATTTTGCAATTTTCCATTGTCAATTTTGTGGTTTACTAGACAGGCTACAAAGCTTATCATATGATTTGAATGTTGAGTAATGCTTTACTAGGGACTCCCCACACACTGCGTATACTTTGTTATATCAACACAAGGCTCCAAATCCTTTGATATTTAAGAAAAAATTACTTATCTACATGCAAAAGCAAATACCTTTAAAAAACAAAATCTTTTACATTGCTGGACAAAAGAACATGGCCAGTGGTAACACAAATATGTACTTTCTTTAATAATGAACATGAATAGATCAATATGTATGCACATTTTATGTCTTTTAAAACTGACATCCCTACACCAAATTACATGTTGTGCTGGCAACCTAGAATTTCGTCATCAAACTGTGCATGTGATCGACAGTTTACTTTTAAATCTTTATGAATAATGGGTATAATTAATAGTAGTCTTTCCACTGGTTATCATTTAGGACAAAGGAAAGGCTATTCTATTGAATTACAGATTCTCCTGTGTTAATACAATCTGTTACATTATAAAGGAATCAGTTATTAGAGTGTAATGGGCAGCTAGAATATTGACTGTTTATATGCTTCAATGCGTATACGGAGATGACATGTGAAGTCTATTTCTGTATCACATAACCACCATCATCATAACTTGATGCACACTCTAAAGTGATTCACAAGTAGACCCACAGGACCTAGCAATAAAAACATTTGCTCTTCTGCAGCATTCCTTTCATTTCAGGCTGATTAAAATAGACATTGCTAAGTACATCTCAAAAAGCTTGTAGAATATGGAACAATACATTACTGAATAGAATATGATTGAAGCACATGGGCAAAATACAATGCTTTAGGCTTGGGGGTTTACACGATTAAAAGCATATATTTAATTATATTTTGGTATTTGATTTGTATATAAGATATTGACGCATTTTAGTTTTAGTTCAGATACACTCAAATGATTGAAATGTTTTACGCATCTGTACATGTGATAAAAATAAGAGATGGCATTTCTACCTAGGCATGCAGTACAATTTGAAATACAAAAAAACACACAATCAGGTTACAGTTCAGCTAATTTTCCTTGATGGTTAAGTTACTAATTACATATTGTTTATAAAGAGAAACTGTCAGCATTTAGACATGCAGCAGTTCATTAATTATGCAGGATAGCATACTTTCACAAAATCTGCCAGGGTCTGGATTTATGTTATAATATAATACAAAACACCCATGTTATTAATTACCTCTGTAAATACTCAAAACAGTTTAAAAGTACTTATATTAAAATATATATATAAATAAATAGAAAAATAAATAGCACATTGCTGATTATGGCAGTATAAATCAAAAAATAAGGATTATTTCTTTGTT